GGAAAAAAAAAAGCCATTGATCCAAGAAACTTATTTTACCTGTGGAAAAAAATGATAAAATGTACTGGACTTGAATAATTTAGAGTGTGTTTTTAGGAACAAAAAGTAACTATTTTATGTCATTTATGATCAATAAAACATTTATTTAGAATAACAATATAAATACTTGATAGCTTTCTGGGCCACTGTTTGGAATACCCTTGTACAGCATAGCACATGGTTTATTTTTAGATCCATAATATATTTTGAGTGTTGGCTTCTAATGAACAATTAAACCAGAGTTTTAAGTCACAGTAGCTATCACATTATACTAGTTATTCCAGATCAATAGTTCTTCTTCTTCATCTTCTTCTTCCTCTTCCTCCTCCTTCTCCTCCTCCTCCACAAAAGAACACTGATTTCTACTTCATGTTCAGCGATTCTGTTTCTGTTTGGGTAATGGAAAAGTAAATGGATGAGCTAAGGTGCTATTGGTTGAGAGACTGGGTTGGTAAGATGGCTCACGTGGGGCTAAGTGTGGTGAAGAGTGGACAGGCTCGAGCAGCTGATGGTTACTGAAATGCAGGCTCTGCCCCAGAGAGTGGAACCCAATGTATAAAACTGGAGCTCTGGTGGCGCAGTGATAAAGCACTTAGCTGCTAACTCAGGATCAGAGGGTCAAACCTCCCAATTGCTTCGAGGAAGGTAGAGGTGACAATCTGTTCCTGTCAACATTACAGCCTTGGAACCCCTAGGAGCTGTTCTACTCTGTCCAACAGGGTCACCAGGTGTTGAATTGGTTCAATGGCAGTGTGTTAATGTGTAAAAATGAGCAGTTGGTGTTAGAAGTACTCAAAAATGTTCATCCATTTTTCAGAAGTATTAGCTCAGATTGGATGGCCATCATCTTATATCTCAACATTCAGAAATGAAAAGAGTTAAAGCCACATGTTCAGTGTTAATTTTTATTTTTGTGCCTATTGAAAATTAAACAATAATAGATGAAAATATAAACTTAAGCACCTGTATACTTTTGATTTTTTTTTACTTAAGAAATTTAGTGGTACAGCAGTTTCAATGTGATAGGTTATATAGATTCAAGCTGTCTGATTTCATGTACCTTTATGTATATAAGGATTGAGAGACTTCAGCTTAGCAACTTTGGATAGGTTATCAAGAGAGACCAGCCTGTGGGAAAGGATCTCCTGCTTGGTAAAGTAGAAGGTCAATAAAAAAGGGGAAGCCTGTCAAGGAGATGGATTGACACAGTGGCAGTAGCAATGGGCTTAAAGATAGTAATTGTGAAGATGGTGCTGGACTGGGCAGTATTTCATCGTGTTGAACATGGAATTGCCACAAGTCAGAGCTGACTCAAGGGTACCTAACAACAATATGCAGGATTTACACACACTCATGCTAAAATGCACTGGTGGGCATTTTAAGCCAATGAGGTTTACATTGAACTGTTACTTTCCTATTTAGGATCCTGGTGGGTCTGTTGGGTAAGTGTTGGGTTGCTAACCATCAATTTGGTGGTTCAAATCCACCAGCTGCTCTGAGGGAGAATATGAAGCTGTGTGCTCCAGTATAGATTCACAGTGTAGGAAACCCTGAAGTTGTCAACGATTTCACTTTACTTGGATCAACAATCAATGTCCATGGTAATGCCAGTGAAGGAATTAAATGGTGTATTGAATTGGGAAAATCTACTGCAAATGGCTCTTTAAAGTTTTAAAAAGGTATGCTTCACTCACTCCCTTGTTTCATATGTATGCAAAAACTGGACGAATGACTAGAGAAGACAGAAGAAGTATGGCTACATTAGAACTGTGCTGTTGGCAAAGAACACTGACAAAATCTTGGAATGCCAGATGAACGAACTCACTGGTGTTGGAAGAAATACAGCAGGAATATTCCATTCAGCAAGCACAGCTAGATTTCTGCTTGCTTACTCTGGACATGTCACCCAGAAAGACCAGTTTCTAGAAAAGGACCTCAGGTTTGGTAAAGAGTCGGAAAAAAAAAAAAAAGGAATGAGATGCGTTGGTATAATAGCCACAATATTGGCCTCCCATATGACAACTATCATGACAACAGCACAGGGTTAGGTGTATTTTGTTCTGTTATACATGTGGTCAGCTTTCTTCCAGAGACCAGTGTTTGAATTCTCCCTTTTCATGAGAGAGATTTTGGTTCAGTTCTCAGCCAAAGCACCTGATGCACAGTCGTGGCCACCTGTTGGTGCGTGGAGGCTTGGGTGTTTTTTATGAGGCTGAACAGGCTTCAGCACAATTTACAAACTAAGGCGGAAAGGGCTTGCAAGCTATGGGCCACAATGGTCTGATCCCCAAACCACCATGAGAGCAGTGCAGGGCCGAGTAGTGATGTGTCCCCTTATGCTAGCAGTTCTTGTAAGACCAGGAGTGGACACTACCATAGCTAATAATAGCTTACATATGCTATTCCAGATCAGTGATCCCTGCCCCTTTAAAAGGAGAAGGAGAATAGGATTTACTGTATTAGACATTTATCTCATATTCTTAGACCCCTGGTGGCATAGTGGGATATGCTAAGGACTACTAAGGATGAGATTGACAATCCAAACCCATTCATTGTTCCTTGGGAGAAAGCTAAGGCTGTGTGTCTTACAGGATTTACAGTGTCAGAAACGCTGTGAGATGTAGTTGATGAATATGACCCTTCTAGCCATAATCCCTTATGTGATGTATGACAAATTCTAGTGTCTATGTTTGTGGCTAAAACACCATTTTGGAGAGAGTTTTCTGTTATACTAATTGTATTAGTCTGGGTACTTTAGAGAAACAAATCCACAGAAACTCATGTATAAAAGAGGGTTTTATGTGAAGGTTAAGTGCACATCAAGAAAACATCCCAACCCAGTGCTGCCCAAGCCCACAAGTCCAACATTAACCCATTAACCCACAAAGTCCTCCTCCATCTCACAAAACAGACTCAATGATGCTGACTGCAGGAGGAAAGCCCAGTCAGTGAATGTGTAAGCATCTCAGTGCTGGCCAGGGGTCTCCACACGGCTGCTCCAGCACCCAGGGCTGCATCAGGGTAGGTCCATGCGGCTTCTCCTCAGGGATGTCTTGCAGGAAGTCAGCCTTGCAAATTAAAGCAGGGATCTGGCTAAGGCAGCTGCACCCTGGTCCAACCATCACAAAGCACAAGACCTGAGAACTAGAAAGGCGAGGCTCACCTAGCCGTTTATCCCTCTGCCCTTCAATTAACCCCACGTGTGTTTATCGGCCAGGTTATCACAATAAAACTTAATGACCTCACTAATGAACTCGATTCAAGTAGAATTCTACACTTTACTAGAGGGTGTGAACCAACTCAGCACCCTTTGTTTCCTTCAGGGTATGGTCTGCTGAAACACACACCACCACCGCCACCACTGCAGACTAGAGTAAGAAGGATGGAGTGTGGAGGCACGTCTCACCTCTGCCCATTGGCAAGAGGGAAACCAGAGGAGGTAAGAGGTGGCTCCCCTGTTTTTGCTCTCTGTTTAAGGTTACTGGGAGTTGCACGAACTCAATGGCAGTGGGTCTGTGGTGTTTCTCATTTGTTTATGATATTGTTTTTGCAACAACCGTGTTCAATGAGTTGCACGAACTCAATGGCAGTGGGTCTGTGGTGTTTCTCATTTGTTTATGATATTGTTTTTGCAACAACCGTGTTCAATGAAAATTTTAAAGTAACTAATCAATTTATATAGTGAAAATTGTCACTGTTTAATTAAGAAAGCTAAAGTACGTGCATGAAAAGCCATTCCTCTGTGTATGAGAGTCATTTGAGAACCCGAGAGAGAAACCCCAGAACCATCTGGAAGAAGAGCCGTCAAGTGGCGGCGATATCTGTCTGAAGTGGCAAAGGCCAAGATCAGAGGCACCCGGGGCTGAGGCACAGAGACCATGGATCAGAGCTGAGGCTAGGAAACCATGAGGCAGCGTGGCAGCTGGATTACTGGCCCCTGGAGGCAGGGGCCAAAGCCCCAAAGAGCTGAGAGGCTGAGGACTAGAGGGAGACTTGACTGAGGAGAGGCACTGCTGTGGACCCGTGACTGTGTCCTTAAAATTTCTTTGATCTTGGGTTGTGGTAACCTGTTAGCTCCTTAATAAACTCCCATAATTTTGAATATCATCTGTGAGTTCTTTGTGGCCTCTACAGTGAATTATTGAATCCAGCAGAGAAGTAGGGTGCCAAGGAAGGAATGGGTAGTGTCAAAATAAGGGCAGAGAAAGATGGAGGTTGGAGGCATGTTTTGCCTCTACCTCCTGGCAATGGGGAAGCTGGAGGAGGTCAGCTATGGCTCCCACGCCATTTTCGCACAGTGTATAGTGTTACTATGGGTTGGGGTCAACTCAATGGCAGTGGGTTTGTGTGTTTATTATATAGTTTTTGCAACAACTTTGTGCAATAGATTTTCAAATGTAAGCCACCAATTTGAATAGTTAAAACATATAACTATTATTTCATTCAAAAGTCACAAAAACATATGCAATAAAAAGCAAGTCCCTCTGCGCTCAAACATGTCTTCGTTATAGGCCATCACTGTTCTCAGTTCATCCTTCCTTTTTCAGAGTAAAAATAAAAAGCAAAACCAGATGATACCATGTTTTTCAGTATTTGTGCTAGTTAGGTTTTTTTTGTGTCAACATAGCACCTGTAAGACGCTATAGGTGGATTTTAGCCTGTCAGTCAGGTCACAGCTGATGACCTCCTTTGGAGGTGTGACTGAGATAATTGGCTCTCTGGAGGCCGGCCCCCCTCTCTCTGCCTTCACCTGCCTGTTGATGAGCCATGCTTACACCTGTGTGAGCCTTGCGATGCGGCCACCACCATTTGTATCCACGCAACTCTGCCCCCACCAGCCTGTGATCTTCCTGCATTCCGCATCACTGCATCTGGCTGCGTGAGTCTGAAGAGGGACTTACGGACTGGTATTGGACTTATGTGCTTGATCTGGACTGGGATGTTTGCTTGATATATAATTACTTCTTGATATAAAGATCTCTCTTACACATATATGAGTGTCACTAGATTTGTTTCTCTAGTCAATCCAGCCTAACATTATTCTTCATCTTGATTTTTTCCCCTTAGGTTGATATTGATAATTTTCCTTGGTTTTAAATAAGGAAATCGAGGCCCAGAGAGCCCAGGGTTTTTAACAATTGGTAGGATTGAGATTTCAAGTCTGTATGAGATGGATTGACACAGTGGCTATAACAGTCGGCTCAAACATCGCAACAATTGTGAGGATAAATGCGGGTTCAGGAAATATTTTCTTCTGCGTGAGGTCGCTATTAATTGGAGCAACTCCATGGTGCCTAACAAAAACAGCATGCCTGTAACATTCAGGTTTATGTTGCATCCCTCTGTTGCCACTTACAGCACTGGGATGATCTCTCATCGTCTGTGCACAATAGTGACTGTCACCAAGTGCAAATGGATTTGCAAGAGTATCTTAAGTTCATTCTCATCTCCCTTCAGATGTTCTATTCCCACTTCCTAGAATCCTCTGCTCAATCCTAAGCTTCTAGTGCCTACATATTACACAAACTCACTAGGCTTTAGGGTTCTTATTATCGAGCTTGCTTTCTTTCCTCCTCCTCCTCCTCCTCCTCCTCCTCCTCCTCCTCAGAAATGCCTGCCGCCATCACTCACCACCACCACCACCACCCACTGCCATCAAGTAATTTCTGACTCATAGTAACCCTGTAAGGCAGAGGAGAACTTCTCCATAGGGTTTCCAAGACTGTAGATCTTTACAGAAGCAGACCACCTCATCTTTGTCCAGCAGAGCCAATAGTGGTGTGAACCACTGGCCTTTTGATTGCCAGACAAGCACTGGAATCACTATGCCACCCAAGAATGCTTCTAGAAACTCCTAGTATCCCCATATCCCTCCTCCTTTATCTCTTCACTTATGATTAGAGCTTCTTTTCCTAGATAATTTAGTTATATATTTGGCCATCTATCTGCAGAAAGTACAGGTAGAGCACATAGGGCGTGGGGGGATTATTCAAGAAACCTGCCCTCTAGCCACATAGGCAGACACATGTTCCACACTGGACAACACAGCTCCTGAGTGGGGTATAAAAGGCTGTCACAAATAGCTACTCACTGAGAAGTTGGGGGTTTGAATTTACTCAGAGATGCCTTGGAAGAGAGGCTGGGAGCTCTCCTACTGAAAAGTCAGCTACTGAAGAACCTATGGAGCCTAAGCTCAAGTCTGACACACAGAGATTGGAATTGGATTGATGGCAACTCTTTGTTTGTTTTCAAATTAGGACACACAGAGATTGGAATTGGATTGATGGCAACTCTTTGTTTGTTTTCAAATTAGGATGTGTGCATGACCCAGATGGACCCTTCCCTAAGATTTTTTAACTGAAACCGATATATCGTGTTGTGATGTGGTAGGATTGAAGGTGTGGAACACCTGCAAGATTAATCAAGCTGTGAAATAGAACACTGTATTCCCTGCTAGGGGAAGAGCACTTTTTCGAGTGGGAGAGAATGACGATTGCAAATAAGCTATTCCAAAGAGCCCCTGCACCTTGCTTTCTGCCACAAGATTGAGACTAACATTTTATCCCCAGTTTAAAATGAGAAAAATGGGCCTCTGAGAGGATAAGTTAATTTTGCGATCGGTCAACTCTTTCTAGAGCGACGAAGAACAACGGAAAAGGTCACCAAGTGGGGGTGAGATGCAGGTGGTGGCGGAATGGGGCACACAGAGAACGATTTTAGGCCAAGAGGATCTAGCAGGTCCAAAAGTTCAGAAGCAAGGGAGAATATGTCATGGTTGCCACCCTGCAGGGAAGATCAGTGTGGCTGGGGGATGACGTGATGGGTTGGAAGCAGGGCTGGAGTCCCAGAGCAGTGCCAAGGACAGTGGTTATGTACGTGAGGGCACCAGGGCTGGTGGGAGTGGCTTCAGCAGGTGGATGGGGTGGGAGTTTCATGACCATCCATGCTCTTGGTCACATGCATGAGGAATTGACATGGAAAATTGAGTGATAAGATATTTATTGGCTAATTCTGGAAATATCAGAAGGGCTAGAGAACAGGGTCTGGATATCGAACAGGTCCTAAGGGAGGTCAGACAATAAAGACAATTCCTCCAGGGCTCTGCACCTGACACTGTTCCACAGCCACCAGCCACTATGAGTGCATATAATGTGACCCTTGGATTCACTCTCTTAACCATCAGAGTTTGGGAGGCGAGAGAGTTGTTTGATGGGCTGAGCCAAGATCAAAGGCCTATCCGCTGAGAGGCCAAAGGGTTTGCAGATGGAATGAATGCCTCCATCCGCAGTGGAGGACGTGCCCAGTTTCCATCAAAACTAACACCATGTGGAATTTCCTCCACGAAGTAGACAATGTAGGGTGGTGAGGTTAGACTACAGGGCAGGAAGAAGAAGGTGGCAATCGCGGCTGCTTCGAGTTATGCTTGTGTTTTTGAGCAATCAACCTTTTTGCTGTCTGGAGACACTGTGGTTGGGGGTGAGCCTCCAAGTGACTGTAGTAACATCCATGAAGAGGCTGTAATGAAGGGAAGTGGGACGGTGATAGCCCGGGCATGAAGATGACAGATGACAGTGTAGGTGGAGAGAGATGGATGGACTCCAGAGATATTCCAGATGCAGAAGTGAAATGGTTTATTGATCTGATTGACCGTGCAGTTGTTAGATGCCATTCTACTCAGGGTGATCCCATGTAACAATCGTACTGGCCCCGAGGGGTTCTCTATACTGTAATCTTTATGGAAGCAGATCTCCAATCTTGAGAAGCCACTGGATGGGTTTGAACCAGCAAGTTTTTAGTTAGTAGCTGCTTAACTGCTGCACTACCAGGACTCCTTTGGATGTGTGGAGCATAGCATGAAGAACGAGTCTAGTGCCAAGGTGACACTCAGTTTCTAATGGGGCAAATGGGGGGCAACGGCACTCCTCAGTTAGAGAACCCAGTGGGGTCTCTATGAGGTCTTTTCTCCTGAGTCAGAATTAACTTGGTGGCAGGGACTTTTGAATTCTGCAGCCAAAGAAACACAACCATGTACTCTGTCAGTGACAGCCAGGTACACACCCGATTTGTTTGAATAAGGAAAAACCTCATGCTCTGCCCACCCCCCCTCCATGAAATGAGGGTTTTGGAAGATCATGTCATCACCTGTTAAACTCTGGGCTAGACATTTGTCCTTGTCATCTTTCCCACATGAATATCTCCAGTTGAGACTTAAAATGGAAATAAATAGGTTGTCATGGAAAATAACTTGCTAACACTTTTCCCTACGTTTTTCTAGTCTTCTATTTCTGTATACGTTGATTCGTGGTTCAAGCTCGTTGTCCTTACTCCTGCAACATTAATGTAATTATGCTTAGAATGTCTCAAGTCCAGGGAATTGGCCAGGCACAAAAAAAGTGGATTGGTAAGCTAGAGAAAAAAAAAAACACTATAGTCTAGAAT